CTGACCAGGGAATTCGAGCGACAGGAACTGTGCAAGATACATCACCAGTGGTTGTCCAATGAAGAGCCTCAAAGACGTCAAAAAGGAAGAAAGATGATCTTTCCACTACAAGTGTGATGGGGTGGTCTACAAATGCAGGTGTAACGACAATGCCGTCGTCACAGTTTCTTCGAACCACCTCACCCACGAGCCAGTTGGAAGTACAAAACACTTCTCACGACGCTCAAACAAGAAGGTGGACATTCCTCAACCTCATTTCATCAAGAAATACAATGAGGGCATGGGAGAAGTAGATGTGGTGGACCAGCTTCTCGGCAGCTATCGACCAAAACTTCGAAGCAAGAAATGGTGGTGGAACCTTTTCAGCAATGATTTCAACAAGGCTGTCGTCGCAGGATAGCTCTTCCACTACGAAACTTACAACGGAAACCAATGCCGCCATAACACATATTGCATTTCGGCGGGATGTCACCATGTCTTTGCTGCAGCTCAAGCAGAAACTAACTGTGCGGCCGGACCCTCGGGTTCATTCAAGAGGTGAGAACAGGAAAACTGATGGCCACTACATCATCTGAGCGTCTCAAGGTGGATGGCCTGAGTTCAAGAATACAACAAATCAGTGCCAACAGGGCAAGAAGCGGCAGCACAAAAACTGCTTTGCTGTGTACCATGGCTTGTGAATTGTTCACTGTAGTACAGCCAGTATTATGAAGAAACCAATTTTTTTACAGATTTGTTATTATTACTTAAAACTTTTAGGCCCTTTGCTTGATGCTAATTATTATTCTTCACTTATTGTGAGTAAGAAAACTCAATAGAGAAGTCAATAAACGTTGTTCTTGACAAACAGTTTTTTGCATATGAAAAACGCCAATGTTCCTAAAATGGAACATGCGCAAAAACGTTCTTAGTCATCATCAATGTGGCTGAATTTTTCATCATAATTAATTTAGAAGGCCAATACGAATTACCAAAGTAAATATCACTTTTTACTATTGCTTCATAGTGTGGCGTTTAAAAGGTTATTGGCGTCAAACTCTCGTTGGATACATTTGGTCACAACCTGGTTAGTTCTGACAATTCTTGGAACATACCGAGTGCAAAGCAATGTAAATGCAAAGCACTGTAAAGGAATGAAAACAGCATTTGCAGACAACCAAAAAATCTGCACAGTCTAGATCGCCATCATTGACGCCATTTCATACCTTTTCGCTCAATAAAAAAATTACAACATAGTCACCTTCCATCCGCATACTTCACATAACATTGATTCCCAAGGTATGTGGGATCTGCCAAACATTTTGTTCAAAGGAAGTGGAAAGGACTCTGAATAGTAGCAGAAATAGACTCTTGGCAGAATTCAAGTGATGACCTGTAAAATATGTTATGTTTTAAAATTTACTATACTCAGAGCATATAAGTCGGTATGATAAGAATTTCAAATTTTGAACATGATGAATCGATGCGAGGGTAACACATGAAGGCAACAACTTTAAATTAGACCTTTGCAGCAAAGCGGATTTCCCTGTTTAAATGTTTTTGCTGCTTTGCACACCTTCACTGCAGTGAAAGCACCTTTACAAAAGGTTACATGCAGATTATTATACACCTATTTGTCAATTTCGAATTCTTTGAAATATTCAATCATTTAAATTCAAATCAAAACAAATTTCAATTCTGTAGTATTTGTTTTGAATATTTGAAGCCTTCAAAAAGTCATACAGGCCTAGTAAAACTGCTTTGGTTTTATTAAGACAGAAGTGCTTAAAGCTACAGTTACATTATGAATGAAGTCATGAATAAGCACAGGATTTAAAATGAAAGTGTATTGATGTAATAGACATTACCTTATTGTTTTCTAGAAACATTCAATAGATTCAAATTTTGCTAATTCGTACATTTTTGCTAGTCCTATGGAATGCGTACTAATGAGTTTCACTGTATGCAGAAATGCCTTGCTAACTTCAAGTGGCAAAGACCTAAAAAATATTGAGATAAATAAATTTTCGGGGCAAGCAAAGTTGTGGAACTGAAGTGAAAGGTCAAGTTCTATCTAAAAGCTTCCCTCAAGGGTGCAACAGCCAGAATAGTATTTGGAGATATTTTTTAGAGCAGCAGAATCTTGCATTTAGAGCACTAAAATGCTAACTTGGAGCAGGTTACAGGAAATAAAACATATATTTTTATTACGAAAGACCAAATTTGGAGCAAAGAAGGCTTACATATAGAAAAAAAAAAGTATGTTCAAGCCATTCTACATGACCTAAATCATGCCGAGTAAACATGAGCACTGCTGTTTCAATAAACTAGTATTTCGATCTACCCACTGAGCGAACAATGATAAAATAAACATTAGCACTTGCCGTCTCTGTCAAATCCTTTGACAGAATCCGTGAACTTAAATGTAAGTCTGCCAAGCTGGCGACCATGAAATCCAAGGGATTCGTGAAACTGAGGAGTAAGAGTGGGGAAAACAAAACAAAAAAAAAACTTGCGCAGTTTGTTTTTTGTTTAGGGTGGTAAAAGTGTCATACACTGCCCCAAATGATTACCAGTAACTTTTTCAGACCTCAGCGATCATACTACTGCTCACAATCATGAGGTAGTATATACGCGTGAGTAATTGAACGAAATTTGCTGTCCCATGAGTAGTGCTAACAGCCCCTTCCAAATCAAAATACGCTTTTCGCAGGGCACTGGTGTATTGCGGCAACGGTGGTTTAAGCATCATTCTGCATGGATTAGAACAAGGACAATAAATTTTTGAATACCGCTAGACCCCCCCCAACCCATTTTTTTTAACATGAGGGTTATGTTTAGGGCACAACATCTCAGCTCCCTTGCTAGACGCATTCTACCAGGAAAAGTAACAGTGGTGCATACCCGTTGGTCCAGCGACAGCACCAGATATCTATCACCGGGATGACAAGACTAACGCAACTTCAAAACAGAAAAATGTTTGATGTGCCATTGCTATGGTACCCAACAGAAAAATGTTTGATGTGCCATTGCTATGGTACCCAACGTGGTCGCCAGCAACGCCGGCGTTCACAGCACGTCGACTCTGTTCCTGCACAGAAAACGAGGTATGCACACCCAGCTCTAGTTTCTAACATGCCATAGTCCCTTTTGCTGGCTAGGAAGTTCATATTTCCCATGAAGCATTCTTGGCTACGGCAACGCATTTTTATCTTGAAGTTGCATCGTCTTGCCGAGAGGTATCTGTTGCAGTCAGCGTACCGATAGGCGCACGGCTTTGTTACTTAATCTGGTCAATCGCATCTTGTGAGTGTCCTGACCTATGGGATTAAGGTTAGCGTGGTTAGGTTACCATGGTTTAAGGTTAAGAGTCTGCACCCTTTGATTGATTGATGACTAAAACTACAGGTGAGCCACGTACATGGCCTCCCTATCTTGCTGAAATTTGCGCAACTTGAAAAATATGAGGCTGGTTGGGTATTTTGATGCAGCATGGCCCAATTTCAGCTAATTTCATGATTTTGGAGCAGCTCGGCACAAAACTGGGGAGTTGTATCAAATTGTCACAATTGGCTCAGCTATTGCACCACTGTTCCCTACTACAAACCAGCTATTTAGGAGGAGCTCCTGAATGAGCTTCTTGTAACGGCTTTAAAGAAAAATAACGCACCTGCTATATTCAAACGCGCATCTGACTAACATGACTCAAAAATAAAAATATAGCTAAGGGACAGTTTTAGCGCCTATACCGAAATCTAAAGCGCACGCAATTTCAAGGTCTATTTTTCCTTAAAAAGAGGTGCGCGTTGGAATTAAGTAAATACGGTGATGTCATACTAAAGTTATCAACCATTTACCAGCACTGCAATTTTATTTAGTAAAGAAGAAGACGTCCTAGGAAGACATGCTCAAGTTGCTTAGCATATTGCACGTGCTTGACCATCCCTACCACTGCACCAAACTTTCACACTACACGAAGCAAGGGTGATGTCGGCCCATCTAAAGTAGTTGCGTCAACATTGCCGCTCTCATCGTGTGCCGGCACTACGTTGTTTCAGTTTGGAAAAAGGTCAAACCAGCCGCCATTGCCTGTGGAAGCAGATTTGCGAGTCAATAGCATCAATGTTTTATAACTGGAAGAATGTTCGCATTATGCAGACACACTAGGAGCGTTGCTTCGATGTCTGGGAGCTTCGAGCCTCAGATGTGCTTACGCTTGCTCAACATGCTCGGCTGAAATCTATCTAGCACATCTCACTTTTTTTTTAACCACCACTGAAAGCGTGAATAAAAATTACTGGGTGACGCTCGATGCAATCCAGCCCTGTTGTTTGAAAAGGGCTAGCTTTCTTCCCTAAGTCGGCAGCTTTGGTGGTGCTGTCCTCGCCGCACCACACAGCTAGAGTGAAAATTCCTGTCGCGTGTACTGTGCATACAAAATAAAAACTGAAGTTCCATCTCCCAGAGACGTCTGTCGGTAGGGCCTGCCTACCGACAGACGTCTTTGGGAGATTTTGCAGGGCCTGCCTCGGCACTAGTCTATCGTGCCACAGGGTTGCTTGGCAAAGTCGTTAGGCCGCTCGGTTTAGACTTCATATTTATCTTCATATTTATGGACAATATTTTCCTTTCCACAGGCACCACAGCCTCGCACAGAGCTGGCGAAACGTGCTGGTGGCGAAATTATTCTTCCACTTTCGGTCAAGAATGTTGATCAAAACACAATTTAGTTTAGAAATATCTTGAGTTAAAAGGCAGTAAACACATGGCAAGTATGAAAAATGGTTTGGTGCTGCGGAAATTTTGAGCTTAGCCAATTTTCCTAGATGGGCGGCATTACATCAGGTGAAAGCAGCTGTTTCTACGTCAAACACTACTTCGAAATTTTAGCACGGCAAAACGAGTCGGAAGTGGGTTTTACTGTTGGTATCCTCAGTTGATGGTTTATGCTTGAAGATGCTTGAAATGGTGCATGAAGTGCAGTGTTTATGTAACAAAAAGACGCCAACAAAACCACGAACCTTCATTGTCGGCGCCTCTGGGAATGATGACATCAGCATATTTCTTCGTCTGCAATGGGACAGGAATAAACATATATTGCATGAACATCAAACTACAGAAAAGTGGCACTCATGTTAGGCATGATAAAGCTAGAAGCAAACAATCTTAAGGTTTCACGAACAGCCACAGTGTCAGTGTTATGTTGAAACATGCTGTGAGGCATTTCCAAGCACTCTGCAAAATATTAAATACTCACACAAAAAAAGGCAAGAAACAGTTGGTGGAGTGCTATCCACTAATGTAAAACATCGAACATCTCAACCCTTCTAAAATTCTTCAGTGATGGAAAACTCACAGGCAGGCAAAACTCCTCGAATGCAGGCTTCACAAAGTTAGTGTACTGGTGGAGAACCTTCTCAAGGTCTCGACCGCGTTCTTTCACATCACGCAGCACTGAAAAAAAAAAGAGGAAAAAAAAAGTCTCAACACAACATCACCCTCTATTGAATACCAAGGAGTGTCCTTGTATCTCCTGGCACATGCAAACTAGAGCACCATGCAGTTACACTAAACATATTTTTATCTTGACATTAAGGACTCCCCCATGAAGGCTTCAATAATGAATAAAATAGCTTCAAAGGTTTCTGCATCCTACTTGTCCTTGCTTTTGAGATGTAAAGATCCAACAATTATTCTTATTATCATCCTGCTTCTAGCTCTTCAAAGCATTCAGCTTCGGACATCGTTACTGAATGTACGAGACTCGATTTTTCACATAGCCACACCAGTATGTACAAAGACATGCAGATTACCATTGTCCAAAGTGTGAGGCGCTAGCACATTTTCTTTCGCATTTTGCTGGACACTTAGACAACAAAGTTTCATCCTTGGACAAGCTGTGTCATTCTGTCAAGTTGTTAAAGTTTAAGTTGTTGTGCCAAGTTGTTAAAGTAGTTAAAACAAATGACGCTTCAGAGACACTGTCACTCAGTCAAACCAGGCAAAAGCCTGAACAAAACACTAATGTGATGGGTAGACTCCAAAACACCACTTCATGCAGAATACTGCTTTTTTCAGTTACTACACCGCAGTACAGGACAATCTTTAGTAAACAAAAATCGCTTTCATGAAACCACTACAAACGTACTCCCATTTTGGATGGTTTCACATCTGGGTGATGCTAAGCAATAGTACATCCAAATAGGTAAAGGAAACTCCCTCTAAGTTTAACATATCTCATTTGCTCAAATCTAAGTTAACCCCTTAAAGTCCAAAGCCAGCAAAAAAAAACTGCCACCGATGTAGGCTCAGCAGAAAAAAACAAAATTTAAAGCCTGTAAAAAACTCAAACAGCACTTACAATAAAACCAAGATACATATAAAGTTGCAAAGAGGATCCCGAAACATTTTGATATGACAGCAGACCAGAAAACTCGTTCAGATTTCTCTGGTGTGCATGCATATGTATGGCATTCTCTATAGAGAGAAAACTGACTTCGGTGCTCAGAAACCCAGCACCTGGTTGCAGTGTGGCACCATTCATCCCAAGTTAATCGTGTGCAATGCGTCGTGATCTAGTACACTCGGCCTCATTGTAAGAAAGTTGCATCTTGCACAAAAATGAGTTTGTTATATAAAAAAATCTATTGTAAAGATTATTCCTAACACTGTACCTATTGCAAAACTACTTTTCATGTGGTTAGTTATGACCGATATTTTGTTGTGTCTGGGTTCGTTATAGCAAGGTTTGAATGTATAAACACTCACGCTATCAGCACGCCAGAACTCCTGTCTGTATGTACGAGCGCATTTGCTGTGCGAGTGTGTGCAGTGACATTTCAGTATGCACAAGCCGCTCACTTCTAAAAGTGAGTACAGTAAAACCTCGAAAATCCCAACTCGGTTGTTTTGAAATCCCATTTAATTCGAAATAGTTCTACGGTCCCGTGTTTTGCAATGTGGATCTGAGTGGATAATTTGAAGTCGTGGTCAGCACCAGTATGGTTAAGTCAATGACTTTGGGTGCCATGTGCCAATTCCCGACCCCGATTTAACCGGCAATCCGCGGAAACGACGGCCTTTAAAAACTTCAAGGCAGCAACGTAGCCATACTAATGAGTGGCAGCTGAAGCACCCCAACCCTGTGACTTCTAGCACAAAAAAAGCAAGGGAAAAAAATACGAACTCGTGCTCAACCAAAACATGCACTTGTGGAGAAGATTAGCTTCACTGCAACACAGTGGTGATACGCAGGCAGTGTAACGCATGTTTTTCGCTACGAGAACACGTCATGATTTACCCATTCTTTTTAGGATTGTAAAGAAATTTAATAAAGGTCAGTATGATGGAATTCACAATAACTGTGAACCTCCCATTGCCCGTGGCTGCAGCAATCTGCACACTTGCACTACTGGCGTAATTCTTGCCTGCAGTGCCTACTTTGAAAAGTAAGTTCGAAAGCTTCGATGATCACGTTTTCGAGCTAAGCCATATCGCCAATTTCGTCACACTACTATCATTAAATTCTTTAATTTACCACAAAGAATGGGCAAATGGTCGCATCATGATGTGATGCAGCGAGGGCAGACGACATGCTACCCCCTTGCCACTGCTGTGCTGCAGTGAAGCATGTCTTGTTTTCCACAGGGGTGTATTTTAATTGAACAAGACAGCATTATCTTTTTTCTTTTTCTTTTTTTTCGGTGGCAGCAGCAAGGCCCAGGTATTGCGAGAAAACATAACCCTTTGAGCTGCAAACTAGCTGGTACAAGAAACAATCGGCCCTGATTACTTTGGATAAATGCAAGTTCCTTACCTCCCATTTTTTGTATGTTCTGTTCATTCAAAAACCCGATTAATTTGAAGATTTCTCGCGGCCCCGATGACTTTGATTGAATGAGGCTTTGCTGTAAGTGTTGTGCACACCACGTTGGGCGAACATGGTGTTGGCTGTGCTTTCTTGCACAGTTTAGGCTGGCTTGGCCATTTAGCGGTGGTGCAGCGCATTTGGGTTGTCGAATACTTTGTACTGTATGGGCAGTAGTTTAATGTCAGCACTACACCCCACACACAGCCAGACAGATAATTGAAGATGCTTGGTGGAATAGGACTGTCAATGATAAGTTGTTACACATTTGTCGGTGACTTCTATCCTTATCTGGCCACGGTCACATGTGGCAAAGTCATAATACTTGGCCAATATCTCAAAATTTGAAATGTAATTTGCCATACACCATGCCACTGGCTACACCTCAAATTGATAAGTAATATTTAAACCAGCAGGCATGCAAGCCATGATCGTGTGAGGGACCTGCAGTTATTATGCTGACTAGAAACAGTAACTAGCATTGCTACTGGGTCATTCCACGCCAAATGTCTCAGCTAGTTTGGCAACCATCTCAAATGTATTCGAAAAAAAAAATTGGACTGATTAGCCATATTGAAAACAGTGCATTGCTACAATATTGCAGAGAGAAAAAATTTTTTGGTTACGTGGGTGCCTTCCAAATTTCCCAGAATGGCACCTGGGTGTTCTTTGCAACAAAATTTATCCTAAGAGTTTAATTTCTTGATTCTACACCAAATTAGCTTTACACACTAAGCAAAAGCAGCTGTGTGAAGTGAAACAATAACCGTTTCGATGAAACGAAAAACACAATGTTTCAGCCACATTTTTAGGCACGGGGCTTGATGTCTGTCTCACCTTGTGGCTGAATTCGCGTGCTGGAGTTCAGTAAGATGCTGATCAATGAATTTAGCATAATATGGGTGGTTTGATGCAGGATGGCACAGCTGTTCCATGCCTGCCTTTAGTTAGAAAACATTTCCAACATTTCTGATGTTGTAGCTGCTGTTGTATACAAGCTTGCCTCAGTTCACAAAATTGTGGTACTTGCTTTGAGGTCACTAGCAATCGGAATGCTCCTTTATTAAAGCTAGTCATTATTAGTTTTTTATAAATTTTCAATGCATGGGTTGCTTCAAAAATGTTTGCTTCACTATTAAAAAAAAATTAGAATAGCATTAAATTTATAATCAATTTGCTTCTCAATTCCACTATTTGCACACTCCTATATTTAATGGTAGAATAGGGTTGGCCTGAACTCTGGTTATCTACATCTTACTGGCTTATAAATAAAAAGAAGGAGAGAGATCCAGTGAGGTACATGCAAGTGACTATGATACAGTCCAGCCCACATATAACGGCCCCACTTAAAACAAACTTTCACTTAAAACAAACAATATCCGCGTAATCGTGAAAATATACATTGGTTCAATGGCACAAAATCGCACTTACAACGAACGTCTCTGAGCGCTGCTGATCGGTTAAAGCGAATGGAGTTGGCACTCTGCCGACTTCCCGAGAAACCAGATCAGGCATCGGCGAGGTGCCCATACAGTCTTATTGTTAAACGCTGACCCTGTTTCTGCGCCGCTCTAGTTGTCGCTTTCCCCGACCGCTTTTTGTTACCCACCCCTCCGTTCTTTGTCCCCTCCCCGCTACTCTGAGCACCCCGCATCACCAGACGAGGCCCGCTTTTTCACAGTGCCACCAATTTTTCGAAGACCGGTTGGCCATCTAACTCTGTTTTGGATCACTCGTGATCGCTGTTTTTGATCGTTGCCGTCGCCGGCCTGGAGAGACCAGACCACTTGCCAACATCGTCGGCCACCGACTGTATTCGATCATCTGCATCTAGTGCATGGGTGTACACTATCCCACCGACTTTGATATTTGCGATTCATTTCTTGTTTAGGACTTGTTGTCGCTCACTTTGCACTCGGCTCAGCATGCCCTCCGCACATGAGCGGAAGCGCGAAAACAGCTGTTAATTTGCACGAAACGAATCGTGAAATATCGAAGTTGGTGAGGCCACCCAAACCCGCCAGCGCAACAAAATCATTTTTTGACCACGGCCGCCGACTCTTTGAACACCGTCGTGCGCACCGATCTAGGCGGCCGTGCTTTGACTTCTGCGCGCGCAGGCACTCTTTCAAGTTTTTCTACGTGCAAATTGCACATTCCGCGGATCTTTCAAGCAAGCTACCCAACCTGCCTCCTTCCCGTGCGTTTTGGTTTTCAAGGTCGCCCTCCCGCCTCATCCTCCCCTCTTTTCACTCTATCGCAACTCCTTGCCCTTCTTCTCTCGCAAATATGCTCTCCTTTCTTGATCACAACATTGAGCTTCGTCTATTTACCAAGTCCCAGATCACTTGCCGGTGGCACGCGGACCCGTCGGCTCATAGGCGGCTACGTCACATGCACGTGATCTAAAAGTCCCAAGCCAGCCTGAGCGGCCTCGGACCATCTGCGCGCTTGATGCTGGCTACATCCGCTGTGACATCTGCTATGCCAGGCTATGCCGTCTGCTCCCTCCATAGCTGTGACACAGGCCACAACGACGACCCAGTTTTAACCTAAACAGTAGTTAGGTAGTATACCTATTTCTGTT